TATTATACTACACACACACACACACACACACACACACACACACACACACACACACACACACACACACACACACACACACACAAACTTGATGTTAAAGAAAAATATCTATACAAATATAACTAATTTTATTAATTTGTTACGAATAAAAAGTGAGGCTATACAGATCAAACAGTTCAATCAGATTATTTTATAAGTAATTTTAAATGTTTAATAATAATAGAAAATAAATCTGTGTAATAATATAAGAAAGAATTTAACTAAAAACTGAAAAAAATATTTCACAAAATGAGAATAAATAATCGATTAAAAATTGTTTAAATAAACATACATTCTTTTATCATCATTTCTTGAATGAAGAAAACAATTGTAAAGAAAACAACATGCTTATAAATCAAATTTGACTTTTCCCTTCTTCAAAGGAATTCTATATCTTTTCAAATATCATGAATCGTACAAAAGTCATAATTGACAATTATCCTTCATGTTAAGCAGAAAAAACAACTTTGCCACAATATGATTCCCTATTAAATTTCTACCTTTTTAATCGCTACTTTTATTCAGATAAGTACCAATTTTTATAGCATAGCTCATGTTTAACAAGAGAAACGTATCATGAAATGCATAAGTTAACGCAACTTAATGAGAGCGGAGCAGTTGCAATATTCGAGTTATTTAGCTTATTAAGCAACAATTTAACGTCGTCTCTTACTCAATGCAATTATAGTATAATCGCCGAGTGTTAGTCACTTGCAATTACTACATGTACTTAACGGAGCCAGGCATGCACGCGCGCGCGCGCGCGTCTATCTTATTCGTGGATCATTTTCTCGTGGAAGTTCCATGTTTTTGACAAAACCGAGAAGAAAAAGACAATAGAAATATGTAAAACAGATTGTTTTAATGATTGCTGTGTTCGTACGAGAAACCATTTAAATTGATTAATTAATTATAATCTCGGACAAATCACCGACCGACGAGAAGGTTGCTCGACCTGGATATTCTCGAATGCCGAGAAGGAGGATAATCGGGGATGATCGACAATAAGTCGGTGTTGTCCCTCGCGATAAACAATGCGCGTCGCACGAGGACGAGGCTGGAACAGATCGAGGAATGGAGAAGGGGAGTATCAAAGAAAGGAATCGCATTTGTGCGCCTCTCCGCCACTTACCGCGATTCAAGGAATGCTCATTTCACAATTTGCACAAAACGTGATACTCGAAGCGTTCCTTCTCTCCCTGATCCACACGCTCGTGTATTAGTCACCGCAAATACCATCTGGAAAGCAGCATCGTCAGTGCTGCCAATGTCGCCCTCCCCCGACGACGACGACAACGATGACAAGCATGAGCATCACGACGACAGCGACAATGCGGAATTATGCAAGTGTCGGAAAGGTTATTGACCGTCACGCCGCGTCGCGTTATATCTGGTAACGAGTTGTACTCCGAGATGGTGCCAACGACATGATTTTTTTTTTGGGTGGAAAATCTTGGAAAATAACTAAATATGAATAATTATTGTTACAAAAAGAAATAAATAAATATGCTATTCTATACTTTGAAGAGATGATTGAATTCTGTAATTTATCGATATTGTTGTTCTAATCAAGAATGTATTTGAGATCGATTATTTTTTTTATATTTTCTGAAAATTTAAAATATAAGCCCTGCGCATAATGGAGGAACAGAAATAGAAGTTAGGAATACAGGATGTCAAATTTTGGAAATAAAAATTAGGAGTACATATTAAAGGTACGATGGACACAAGTAAGTGTAAGATCTATATCTTACATTTACTTATCATTTTGTATTACGTTTAATTCATATTTATATACTTTTGTTTTTAAAATTTAATATTCATTCTTGTTCCTCCACACTGTGCGCAAAAAATCTATTCTATTTAAGAAAATATAACAAGTTACAATAAAATATGAGGTAAAGATGCAAATAAGATGATAAATAATAATCTTCTTTATTTTCAATATCGGTCAAGAAGGAAACTTAGATAAGTAAAAATTTCGCTCGCGATGCGAACGAATCGTGCGGACAGATGACGCGAGTGTCAAGATTATTTCTTAGTCACGATAAAAGTTGAAGAATTCAAGCACGATAAACGAGAATAAGAAATTAAATATAAAAAATTAAACACTAAAAATGAAGAATTAAAATTAATAAAGAATTAGAAATCAAAAGTTAAAACTTGAACATAGAGAATTAGGAAGAGAAAATTAAGAATTAAATACAAAAAGATTAAGGAGAAGAAATTCGACCAATGAAAACATACGTTCTTTGCTATTTTTTAATATGAAGCATAATCGATGATTTTCTGTATATCAAAATTGAATTCTCTATTTTTGTAAATGTTCTTTATGTTTAATTTATGTCTAAGTGTTTAATTTATGTTTAATTTGTATCTCCTTTTTCAATGAAAAGTCTCTAAAATCGTTTTGTAAATAGAAATTTAAACAAATTATTAATCGTAAATAATTATCTTCCCAAAAAAATGCACGGTATTAAAAATCTATTTAATTGCATCTTCTATATATTTTCATAATTTTGTGCAAGTATGACAAAAATATACGCGAAAGGGAAATAACAACGTTTTACTCCAGATTACATATTAAATTACACTTTCATAAGAAGTCAAAATAATATTTCATATTTATGTTGCATTGATTTGACAATGCGTTCGCTTGAGATGCGTTACACACTCGAGCGCGTGCCCCGTAAGTAATCAGTTAATTAGTGTCGGTCATCATTTCGCCAATCTTAATTAAAGGCACATTTGCGAGCGCGATCTCGATCGATTATTAGACGCCGTATCATATGATAGGGGTTTAATGGGGATGATCACGTGATGAGAATAATCCGAACCAATGATAAACAATACGCGCTAATAGCGACATCGCGTGGCGCTCGCGTTCTTAAACTGCAACTTTTATGGACTCTGTTTTCGCCATAATATCGCGACGACGTCACGAAGCCGTCACGGTAGTTTCTTTCCATTCCGCGTAAAGAACATCGCGATCGATATTGATCTCTCTCTCTCTCGGCAAGTCGCGTTACATGGAACGTATTTGAATACGCGTTGCGTGAGTAATTAGTTAATTAGCGCCGGTAGTATTGAGCAAGCTTAACTGATCGTCATTTGTCTATTCGTTAATTAAAGACATTTGCTATCGCGACGTTGCGTAGAGCCAGAAGGGAGGGAAGAAGTAATTTTAGGAATGAATTGAAATTAACTCATCGCGTTAAATAGAAGATAAGCCTCGCGTTAATATGCGCCGTGAGTTTCTCCATGACATTAATCGATGTTTGCATTCTCACAATTTCGATGGACTCTAGCAATTTTCGCCATGATACTGATGACGCGACGAGCGTCATGATGATTTCCGTCAGACGCATAAGAAACGCCGCAATCGTCAGTCTCTCTCTGCGACATTACGTCGACGTACTTGAATATTATACACACGTGAGTAATCAGTTAATTAGCGCCGATAGTATCGAACGTTCGGGGGACCGTCGTTTGTTTATCGGTAATTAAGGGTACTTGTGCATGGACACTATTGCATAGGAAAGAGGGAATGGGAGGATGGAGGATGTAATATTAGACTGAACGATGAAAATAATTCATCGTGTTAAATTCAAAGCTTAAAAGGCAAGCATTGTGTTACACGATTAAATTCAAAGCGTAAAGATAATTATCGCGTAAATACAAACAAGCCATGAGTTTTCGCAACTTCTATGAATCCTAGCGATTTTTGCCATAATACCGCGATTAGCGTGTCATGAGACATTTTAATTTTATTTAGGCGGAAAAGGAACCAAAATGGAATAATCGATGCGCGATTTCCCGCGTCAGTTTCTTTCGGTATCTCGACGTACATATGTATTTGAATGTACACATATCCCGTGAGTAATTAACTAATTACATAGCCAATCAAAAAGCCGTTTTTAGAGGAATTTATAACGATAAACGAAGATTCAAGATATGCGCCGTAATGTCGGATAGACTCGGACAATCATCGTTCAGTAGCAATGTGTCGAACGAACGCTGCGAGTCCGCCATCTTGTTTTTGTTTTTAACCGATCGCTCAGTTGCGGAATGTACCAGAAGTGCGTCGTGTCTTGCTCGTGATCGTAATGTTTACGTAACGCGTGCCACACATGACGTGTTTTGGAGTCCTTCTCGAGCCGTTGAGTGATTCGGACGTCTTTTGTCCCCGTAAAAATTTTTTGATATTGCGTCATCACGCTTTTTTTTGATTCTGCTCATTCATTTTTCGAATTGAACCGTGGCCTGTATAGGTGCCGTAAAGTAACTTTGGCCAAGAATAGGAATAAGAAGAAGAAGAAGACGTGTTTTGGAAGTGTATCGCGAGTATTGTCGAGTGTTATTAGTGCGTACGCGATAGTTTCCCATTCATAATGGAATGTGCTCGCGCGAGTGAACAAGGATATGACTGTGACAGTGAAGCGACTCGACGGCGATGAATTATGGCTAGAACGCATCGATTGGTGAGTAGATTCGTTTATTGATTACGCGCTTATTTGCGATAATTAGAACAGACGCGTTACTTAATCGAAAATTAATGACGAAAATCGTATTCTTTGTTCTAAAAATATTAGAGATGCAAATGTGTATATGTTAAAAAGTTGCGACATATTCTTCATATACATATTTACATAGTTTTCAATATTATTCTTTATAATAATTTTTTATTATTATCCATAATTGATATATAGAATGTATATGTGCGCATAAAAAATAAATTTTTTTATATGTATAACAAAAATCCATAAATATAAATATATGTGAAAAAATATTGAAATTTTTTAGGAATAAGAATAAAACATCAGGAAAAATCGCGGCGCGTGGGAAATTGGATTTTTGATGACGTGGCAGCAGCGATATTTGGTGAGTGAATATAATAAATTATTATAAATATATTGATTGTATGGTTTTATGTTATATTGAAAAATGAGATTTTATTTCATCGAAAAGAAGATACAAATATAAAATACAATATACAAACAGATAATATTAATGTAAAATTCTTGGATGTTTGTAATCATACAGACATATATTAATAATTACAACATTATAATAATAATTTTTAATCTCAGATATTTTATATAAAATTCACTGTAACATTTTTAACTGTGCAATCAATCGTAATTCTTTTTTAGAGAATGTCAAAAATACTTCGCACTCTGCATTAATGTCGAACTTTAGACTGTAGCCTAGATTAAATTATATATAAATTAAATTTCATTCTTCTCTCATTGACTCGTTGATTAACTAAATTAATATCGCTAATAAAGTGAGATGAGATCGTTCGTAATTTTGCTCCTATCGCGCCCATCTCCGTTATTGAATTATTCGAAACTTACATTCGTTTTCGATGCGAGGTTTATTTATTTAGCGAACGCAACGTTTCGTTTCGAAAACATTGGTTTCCGGGAATTTGTCTGTGTTCGCGCGAACGTATGTTCGATTCGCGATGTTTCTTGAAATCTCTTTCTGACTGAAGTGTCAGACACGCGAATCAATCATACATCGCGACACACGCATTATCGCGATCTCGTCAATACTTTCCAAACCCAGGAAAATACATCGCCCATCGTTTTCTAGGCACGGTGTAATGTCGCGACGTTATCCACAACAGGCTGAGCTGACTTTATCCGAAATACTATCTCGCTCTCCCGTGGGAGTGACGCTCGTACAAATTTCCCTTATCTGCACTATAAAAACCGATAAGGGCATTGCGCATTTTTCCCGACTATCTGCAGCGATCTATAAATTCATTTTAGAGTACGCGGACAATGTATATATAATACCACTGTTTTAAATCTGTCAATAAATGTACAAAACTTTTTTATGTTTATACACGTTAAGGTCTTTTACCCCTTCAAACTTTGACGATGGATTTTTTTTAGTTCAGAACTCATATATTTCGATTTTAAAGTTTTAAAATAACTTAATTACGTTAATTTAACTTTGAATAAATATTGGTCTAACTTTTATAAAAGCTTTCAAAAATATTGAATGAGGAAACCTCGTTTAATTTAGTTTATTTTAATAACTGTCACTTAATATTAAAATCGGAAAAATAATAAATAATAAATTCTCATCAGTTGTTTACCCCAGAAAGTTGACGAAATTATCCCTGAAGAATTTTTATTATTGTCCCAAGAATTTTTATTGATGCGCGTGAAACTTCAGAAAATTCAATATAAGATTAAATTTGAACTAAACGGAGACAAATAAAATTATTGTACCGATTGAACGGTTGAAGGATCCATCATCGGAATTTGATACGTTGGGCACCAGTATAATCAGTCGGAAACAATACGTGGCACAGCGAAGATGGTCTAGCTAAATAACGGGGACGGGCCGCTCCCTCTCGTCCCTGTCTCCCTCTATCCGAATTGCGGTTGCTCTTCACGCAATTACGCGAGCCTCGCCATTGAATCAATTCGGCTATGTGACGTTCGGTTATGTGAATAGTTAGCTATGTGGTGCCGTATTATCGCTCGTTTTAAATCACCTAAATTATATAGTGGGCATTCCCTCTCGGACCGCCGGTGACTACGGCAAGCGGCCGGAGGGAGAGAGGGGGGGGGGTATCCCGGGGCTGTTGCTGTCACTCGCATCGTGATATTCGCGGGCTGACGGGCGAATTATGATTTATCGAGTGAATGAGTAAGCGTTGCTGTAAATAGCGACGCACCGCACGCACGTTTTCGGGATGCGGGTTCGTTCCGCGCGCGAGCGAACGAATCGCGGATGAATGCGCGCGTACCCCGGTGCCATGTGTCGGGCCATTTTTTTAATCGACCACGCCGGCCACGCCGTTACGATAATTGAGCGAATCGAATTACGCGCGCATGTACCTAATAACCATTTATACTGCAATCGTTGCCGGAGCGCGCGCATATTCGAAGCGCCGCGCTAATTGATCGTTCTCTCTGTACTCACAGGACGATAACGCGCGCGATATAATGATATAGCGACGCATGGGAAAATCAAGATCTAACCCCCTTGAGGGCCGTCGCGAATAGGACCCGCGGGAGTATTTATGCTCCCTCTGATCCCCGTTCGGGATAGAGACGCGCGCGATAGCAATTATTTTGATTGTTTTTTTTTCTCTCCTCTCGCTACGCGGACATCGTTAATTTCACGTGGCGGGAGAGAACCTATCCGAAATGATCGCATGGATCTCCGTACGCCGTCTGCCTACGTACGTAAACGCGTAGGCGGGAAGGGAGGAGCGCGCGAAATGAGGGGGAGCGTGCAAGTAATTTGAGGGTTTATTGCGGAAAAGCACGGTAATTTTACGAGTTTTCCGGTGACGCGAATTAAGATTTGCATAACGCACCGACTCTCTGCCGCCCGCATCCAAGTGTCGAGAAATGCAAATGTGACCCTGTCTTTAGGGCTCTCTCTCTCTCTCTCTCTCTCTTCATCTTTCTTTTTCTTTCTCTTCTGCCTCTGCGTCAGAGAGAGTAGAGGCATAGAAATTCGGTTATATCTTATACCAGCATAAGACAGAAGAAACTATCTCCTTTCCACTCAGCTCGTCTTCGCCAATCGGAACCAAAATCCCGCTAAGATCCGCAGTCTCAAAAGCAAAGAGAGTTCTCCACTTAGAGAATCCCGCACACGTAGAGGTCCCCTTCCTTCGCCCACATCATTTGCTATCAGAAGTATCGTCGCTTCTCCTTGCCTCGCGACATCCAAGCCTCTGACGCGTGCTGAGAAGCGAATGAGAGGAATTTTGAAATGTTCTACCGTGGAATTAACTTGTCGCTCGCGGTCGTGATCGCTTTATTGTATTGCATAAACGCGAGGAAACGCGGAGAAACGGGAAACGAATAATGATTTGACACATTTTATCCAACACATTAACTTTATTTCTTAGATGTTATAAATTATTAGGTTTACGAATGTACGTGATATATAATTTATTTTGGCAAATAAAATTATTGTTAGCACACGTACGTCGAAAAATATGATACGATTAATTTGCTTGATCGAAAATATCCAATATTTTTTTATATTTAGATATCCGACAATCCTATACTCGAAAATTATTGAAAAATTACGCACCGATATTTTCATTATCGGAAGATACTCGCGTTTCGCAACGAAGGCACAGTTATTTCGTAGTACATAAGTCTGAAATTAATTTGCTTCTGACGCGGTAGCAGATGCGAATCAGAGTTATTTTTTTTTTTAGACGGATTCGGAACTCATTATCGGACGCGGCAATCGGAAACCATGCGATCCGATAACGTGTAACGACTACGGGCCAGCGGAATCGTCGCCAGCGAACGCGATCGTTAACGTTAACCACTCGCGTTACGAAGCGTATTCATGCGTGGCTCAGCTGCACCTGATTACGTTAATAATGAACGCAATTGCCGTTCACCTGCGTGACTCGCCGAATGCGCTTTAATCTGTTTACCGATTGCTCGCCGACGGTGTTATCGCGTGCGCGCGAGAGCGCGAACGGCCGCGCGCGGTATCCGCGCGTTACATTCGTCGCGCGACATCATCCGTTTGCCCGCTTAATTCGTCCGATTTTCGACAATTGTTTGCGACTCGTTGCAAAGCCAACGATGACGTTTGCTGTGCAACGAAGAGATAAAACGTTACGCAACGAGTCGCGAAGCGGATTCTTTTTCGCGAATGTGGCGCGACGTCAGGAATCGTTTTAGAACAGATGTATCGGTGAACGATGATTTCGCATTCTTTAATCTCATAATTTTTTTTAAATGCACACAACTATATTTACCATATTTTTTTCTGCATGATTGTTATTTATCGGTGATTTACTTATTTCACGATTTTTCTCTTTACGCGCGATGGCTCAGCGCGTAATCGGAGATCTCGATTCTGTTTGCTCTATGGGAAGTAAGCGTTTAACGCTGAACGCATTGCGCGGATTGCCATTATATCTTCGGCGTCTGTAGAAGTCTATGGTGAAGAATCATTTCGAATCCTCTCGACTGTATAACGTGATAGTCGCGAAGCGATTATTTCGGTCTTATCGGTGATACACTCGGTGCGCAAATATCGAAACGCGAGGGTGGAAATGACGAAAAGATGCGTGAGAGCGGAAAATAAGATCAATTTCGTTGTGCGTTCATCGATCGTGTATAGTTTCTCTTTTTCTTTTCCTCTTTTTTATACTATATACATATACTCTCTCTCTCTCTCTCT